TTTTTTCTGTCTTTCTTTCTATTCCTGCCTTTCTTTCTTTCTGTCTTTCTTTCTATCTTTCTTTCTCTTCCTGCCTTTATTTCTTTCTTTCTTGCTGTCTTTCTTTCTGTTCCTGCCTTTCTTTCTTTCTTTCCTTATCTTTTTCTTCCTCTTGCTTCCTTCCTTTCTTTCTTCCTCTTGCTTCCTTCCTTTCTTTCTTTCTTCCTGTCTTCCTGCCTTCCTTCCTTTCTTTCGTGCCTTAAATTTGACAAAGAACAGGAAAAAAAACAAAAAAACAAAAAACAGAAAAAACTCACAAAAAAAAACACGGTACCCCAAGCTCTTCCGAGCCTTCATTCATTTCATCAGCAATCAATTTCATCAGGAAGCTGTTTGTCTTGCTGACCCGGAGCCCCACCAAGACCGGTACAAAGTTCTCACGGCCATGCGTCGCATGGATTGTAGGACGAGCAAGGCCGTCTGCACGCGCTGCTTCTTGGCCAGGCCTATCGTGCACGGCAAAGTCAGCTCTAAACATGGGTGATTATGGCTGATGCTCTTATTCTTCTTCATGTATCAATCGGAAATTTCGTTTTGACCTCGTTCTGCAACTGCACGTTTAGGGTTTAGGGTTAGAGTTTAGGTCTATATTTTCTTCCCCACTACAAACATTAAACAGTTGCTCTGCAATGAGAAGCAAACGGCCGATGCCGCGGGATGGCATGAACAAAACATTCCCTTCCTCCCCTCCCTTGCCCAGCCGCCCAGCCCTCGTCATGCAAACATACAGTAAGATGTCCTAGTAAGATGTCCCAGATACTCTACTTGAACTCCACAAAGCGCATGAATCTTCGCGAAACACGGAGGCTGGCTTTCTCAGAGTTGCTGAATTAGGCAAAAGCGCCTGTCAAGGTCCACGTCGCTTGGCGCGGGTCGGCAATCCACTCCTCCCACGTGCTGGCCAAAGCACCTGTCTGATGCTGCGTGCGCTTCGGAGTTATCCCGTTATCCCCTCCCCCCTAATTTTTATAGACCACCCCATATACACTCTAACATAACTATAATAGGATATAACAGGGGGTTGTTAATGTTAGGGGGTAAGGGGGTGGTTTAATATTAATTAGGGGGAGGGGATTACTGCGTTGACTGCGGGATCTGCATGGCCTGTTGCTCTCGGCATTGTCCGGGGATCTTTGCCGAGCTTGGATTTACGTAAAGGGCTAGCTGTTCCTTAGCTTCAACGAGAGGCTGGAGACACCTTTGTTAAACTCCCTCTTGGCAGCGTATGTACAAGCTTCCAGAACTTGAGGAAGGGAACGCGGCACCTGCCCAGCCCAGCCGAAGGAAGATGACCGTGTGTCAATTGCACTGGGGCTTGGGCAGAGTGCGCATGAGCCACATGGGCCCAAAGCCCGTTTGGGGCTTGGAACAAGTTTGACAAATATCAACTTCGGCACTCAAACGGCCAACTTGTGACGAAGGCAGATGTTCTCTGCCTTCGCCACTGGATCACTTCTGCCACGGACACATGTGTCAGGCCCTTTGTGACAGAAGCTGGTGTCCAGGGCTGCAGTTTTCACCACCCCAGTTCTGGTGACCCCAAGTCACGACCTCACCATCGCTGCGCAAGGCCGCAAAAGCATAAGCCTCGGCACACTGACTATATCACGGTATAACCTGACTTAATACCCACAAGCCCTGGCCTCGAAACGTTCATAGAACTTAAGGCGATTTGGTTGCTCCATTGTCATGGCTGAGATGCTGAAGCGACGATTTGCTGGACATTGGTCAGGCGTGCCTGCACAGAACTGCTGTCACCACCCGCGGAGGCTTGGCCCCAGGTAACCACTGTTTCATCGGCTCTTAGTGCTGCAAAGGCAGACCCTGAAGCCACGATGTGCTTCACTGCCACCAGCTGCCCTGTGACGCAGGAGCTATCTGCTCCATACTGTTTGCAGCCCCATGTTACAACACCTCCATCTCCCAGAAGCGCAGCCATTGAGCCGCAGGTTGCGGCTATGCACTGGACATCCCGAAGCTTATCCTGCACGCTGCCGCAATCTCCGCCAAATTTCTGGGCACCCCAGCTGACAACTGTGCCGTCTGCCCTGACAGCTGCAAATGCAAAGTCAGTTGCAGCTATGTCCTTTACATCGTAGAGCTGCTCCTGGACGGCACTGCTGTCGCCTCCGTAGGCTTTGAAGCCCCAGGTGATCACCCTACCATCTTCACGGATAGCTGCAAAGGCGCCCGAAAAAGTGCTGTTGCAGGATTTGACCTCTCGAACACCTCTTAGCTCTGATTCAACCTCAGAGCTGCTCCCACCGAGTCTGGGACAACCCCAAGTCCTGACACGTCCATCATTTAGAACAGCTGCGTATGCACCTGACATGGAGCCCTGGCAGGCAGCAATCTGGCGAACGTTCTCCAGCGCAGGTGGGGCAGCCATGCTGCGTACGCGGCCCATAAGGATCACGCTGGAGTCGCACTTGATAGCAGCCAGGCCGTGGGGGAAGAGATGCAGTTTTCGGACCTGGGGGCCAGTGTGAAAGCACGTGCATCATAATTTTCTTCCAAGAACCAGATGATTTTGGACCGCCCGCTGCCTTCTGCAGGCTCTCGTGCTGCTTCTGCCAGTTGGCATGGCCCCACATCACCTTAGCCGATTGCCCTGCCACCGATGACCGACGCCATGCAAGGCCCACAAGCTTCATGTGTCTAGTCCCGACAGCCGGACCAAATCACAAAGTGTTGCTCTTCAGGTAATCATGTCACCACAGAGCCATCCAACAAGAGTGCGGCCTGGATATCTTCGGCAGCGAAGACAGCCTCGATGTCTTGCAGGTGGGCCTGGCTCGGGCCCGAGAAGATCTGAGAAGGGTGCTTGCGTACTTACGGCAACTTCTGGAGCGAATTTCGGCTCGGGGGCGGTCAGTGTCGGCTCAGCATGCTCAGTTTCGGCTTGCACCCGCCGACAAACCCTAAACCCTGAAGTCCAAACCCGACACAAACTCAAAGTTTGGCCAGAACCCTTCCTCCTAGACCGAAGTCTTGTTCAAAATTGAAACCAAACTAAACAGCCCGGAACTAAGCTACATGCCGGAAACCCTGGACCCTTTAAACCCACAACACGGAACCCTAAAAATCCGACGGCCGAACTCGGGGGACTGAAGTCTGAAGCTGGCAGAGGAAACGCCTTGACTTGAAAGCAGCCACGGCATGCCACGGCTGAGGTCCGAAACCCCACAAGGAAGCTTACCTCTCGAAAGTCAAGTTTCACCGCTACCCACCACTGCCAAGAAATCCAAGAAGAAATCCTCCGAGCTGGTCTTACTGCATCCGGGCCTCCACACTTGAGAAGTCTCCGCCCCTGTCAGGGTCGCCCCAAGTCGCGACCGACCCATCGCTGCGCACCAAAGTGAATGAAGAGGACCACCGGCAGGAGAAGAGCCTTGCGAAGGAACATACATCGCGACAAGTTCAGCGCCTTGCAGCTACACAAGCAAAAGGAGTCATCCACTGACATGCAACATGGTGGAGTTGCGGTACACACAGCAGCTACGCGGGGAGCTCATGCCATGGACTTGTCCGCAGGTGCAACCCCTCCTGTCCGGTCGAAGGATGGCGGTAAGAACGTCTCCGTTACAGATGCCTTCCTCCTGCAAAGTGCGCCCTGGCTCAAGGAGTCGGTCTCCCTCCACCAGCCGCTCGATTTGACGCCCCAAGGCTTTCCGGGCCTGTTCAGGGTTTAGGGTTCAGGGTTTAGGGTACAACAAGATTCACCCCAACACACACCAATCGACAATGAAAGCCAACTACCACGCGTGGTCAAGGCCTGACTCTGCACCAGGGAAACAGGGCTTTCTGGTGCAGCTGAAATGGATACTGCTCGGCCGCTCAGCAACACCACGTTGACCACGAATGCCATGCCAGGGACAGCCCTATTTCGCGACTCTGTGTACAATCCTAGTAGTGGTCGTGCAACACTGCAACCTTATTGTAGTTCTGCAGACAATTTCGGCTGTCAAAGTTAAGTTTTGACCCGGTTGAAACTGAAACGGCTTCAGTGCAAGCAACATGAGCTTTTGAGTACTGCATGTCATGCGCACAACGCTGGGCTGAGCATGCAGAAGCTGCTCAACCCCCTGCTGCTGCAGTTGTAACATGAGGCCAAAGGGATTTGAGTACTAATCGGCAAGGGCCCAGCAGTTGCACGTGCTAGTGCCGTTGAGAATGTCCCGATTTGAAGAAAGTATTCCACTGCAACTGCCACTCAAAGCAAGTATGGCATCAAACCTCGTCGCTTTTGAGCAACGGACTTTGAGGCTGCTGGCACACATGCAACTTCCCTTCAGGAAGCTCCGAGCCCAAGCCCCGAAGACACCTCAACTCCGCCTCAACTCCATCCCTATAAGCCCTCCAAGCCCTGTATTTTGGAATTTTGGCCCCTCAGCTCTACACCGCAAATGCTGGCCTCGCACGCGCTCAGCAGCCGGTGATTGGCCCAGAGCGAGGAGGCGACGCAAGGCCATGCGCACAATGGGCGTTCATTTGCCAACCCGTGGCGCCATGTTACTCAAGCCTGCTCGCAGCACACGTCCTCCGCAATCTAAAATAAGGGGCCGCCCCTGAACCTCCACTGTTGAACACCAAGGGAGACCGTGATCGGCAGCACTTTACAAGGCTCACATAACCCGTACGTCCGTAGGTGTGAATCACAAGCAAACAAGCAACTGCAACTGAAGCTTTAGGTGCCCTCCACATGTGTAAATCTTAATAATCCCATGCGCTGACACGTTTGCGCTTCTCCAAACTTCCGCCCCGCGATGTCCTTGAGGCATGTGCAGGGACAACGCGAATGAACAGCCCAAGTCTGTGTGCAACCCGCGCACCTTGGGATGTTCCTCCTTATGCTACCAGTTCTTAATAGGGTTTTGATCGGGGGTACTATAATCCCCATGAAGGACTGTTCGTACAAGGCGGAACATCCCAAAGCGCACCTATAGCTCAACACGGATCGCCTCATCCTCAAGAAGGGCCATGAGCCGGTTGATCCAAACCTTTTCTCCGCTACAGCAGAGGCCCCGAATTCGACTCTACTCAGTAGACAGAGAAAACGGGCTTCAACAAGTTTGAGTCTTCACGCTTTTCTTCTGCAGTCATATCAAACCTATTTTGGATTCATTTCTAGCTGCCCACTGAATCTGTCTCCTACAAGCCCTGCCAAGTCCAGAGCCCAAGGGCATCTTGTTCGGCACTGCCGATGCTTCTTTCGACACCTGGGCCCCGAAGCTTGGCAAGCTGGGTTCCAGACCTACTTCGAAATTATGTTTAACCATCACGGTCTTGTTCTGACAAGAGAGCGGTCCCCAGCGGAGAGGCATGCCCGACATGCCGAGCCCCTCCCAGGGCAGAAGACATTGCTGAGGCCCAATTCTACCAGATATTTCTGAGGATTGTAATGTCCTAACACTCCTGCTAAGTATTTATGAACTTTTGTGAAGTAGTATTTTCACACTCTAGAACTGAGATCTCTGCGCCCTGAAAAGCCGCAAGCTGAGCGGCCGGCCCATGAAAAGTCACCTGAGGTGTTCTCTCACTTTCTCTCAGTTGAGAGCCTAGGCACGAGCTGACTGCCATGAAGTAGTTCGAACTGAACAGATGCCGCAATGACGCCTAGATCTTTCGTTCGGCGCCGCAGCCCCGAAACAGAAGGGTGCTATGCTTGCTGTTTGCAGAATGGTGGCTGGGGAAAACTCCTTCAAGCAGATGGAGATGGATGGAGGTGTTTGGGCACAGACACTCAAAAGGATCCCAGCAGGACTCTGGTAAGCCCAGGTGCCAGGGAAAGGATCTTGAAGATCGGCCAGCCGCTCTCCTCCGCTACTTCGTGCATGAAGGTGTTTTTGTGCTATTTTTAACGGTTCTTTCTGCAGACTTGTTTGGTGCTTCCAAGGATGTCAAGCCTCTTTTGTTTTAAACCGTACGTGTATTTCACCGGGCGCTCAAACAGAGAGCGAGAGCTGTGACTGGAAGGAGTTTCGCGAGGCTCACTTGAGACTTGGCTCAAGCAAACAGCTTCATTCTGCTCATTGCACCCATACAACCCTTATGTTCAACACGGACTGAAAGCAGGTACAACCGCAACCCCTAAACCCCCAGAACTTCGGGCCATGTCTCCACAAGGTTCATCCAGCGGACGGCCTCTACACAAAGTCGAAGAAGTGCAGCGTTGGAACACGAAGCAAGATAACTTTCTCGGACCCTGACGCGTTTAGGTGCTTAGATGTTCCTGCGTTCCTAGAGTCTATAGCACGCCCAGAGTCTGGTCATGGCTCACTGATCCCCTGTGCCTTCAGTAGGCGGAGACGGCTTGTCATGATACTCGGCCTAAAATCATGCTCGCTGCATGGGAATTTGGCCAGATCAATGCTGGCTTCATGGCTTCGTTAGTCATCCGCCTCTCGAGACTTGAGTTTCCGGCAAATTCCAATCATCCAGCTCCGCGGTGTCAGAGAAACACAAAGGAATCTCCTGCAGCAAAGAGACAGAGGCAAACTACAGGCTTCTTGTGACAACTAGTATATGATCATACGATTCTCCTCTTACATCATTAGCAGTCTACTATCTTCTTATACTAGTATATTACTCTTATATGATTTAAGATATTCTTCCTATGCTCTTACGATCTCTTACGTGTATAGTCTGTGGCATCTGCTCGGCCTAGGGCGTACAAACTTGCCTCCAGGGCCTCGATGTCATGGATGGCGTGTTTGCCTACGGCAGGATGGGGATTCCAACAGTGGGTATACACTCTGTGCTGGAATCCTCCCCCCCACAAGGGTACCCCTATTTTCGGCAACCCCCAAGAAAATATCTGCAGTACAGGATATGTGACTACAACGCGAGGCAGGACACTTTTGGTCTAAATAGCCCAGCGCTATCAGCGCCGTTTTGCTGGAGCACCTGCGAGAACCCACGACCCACCCAAGGAGCATTCTATGCTTTCGAAGTGCAACTGGACACAAGCAAGAGATAAAACCTGAGCAGCAAAACCGCCCGGTCTCTTGCCTTGAGGAACGCTGTGCAACCCGTCCTGTGATGCAGCTCGCAACAAAACCGCCCCTCGGCATATCTGACCCGGACTGGCGCTTGACAAAAGCTGCTGTCCTGGAACCACATGGCGTGACTCTTGCTGTCTGCAAAGAACCTTCTGTCACAAGATGCGTGCTGAATCTTTCGGGCGATGCTTCGCCGCATCAGCTGAAAACCCTAATCATCACCAGGCATCTATGAGTAGACTGAGTGAGACTGAGCGAGCAAAGGCAGCTGCATGGAAGACGCTTCTCGAAGCTGAGGATGGCACAGCATGAAAAGCTGAAGTGTGACCTTGTTGCAGCGGAATTGCAACGACTATCTGCCGGGCCGGCCTAGTTTTGCTGGCCGCGCTGCCACAGGCCGGGCTCAGTAGTCGACCGGATTCTTCCAAGGTATGTGTATGTGTGTTTGTGTGTTTATGTGTTCAATTGTGTTCATGTGTGGCTGGGTGGCTGGGTGGCTGGGGGTGGTGCCTGTGTGTGCAGGTAGATATATAGCATTATACAGCGGACGGTAAGCTTATGCTCGGCAGGCACCCTCTCCAAGGTAAGCTTAGGCTTGGCAGGAGCGCTCTCCCACGGTCGAAGCTCTTCGCGCTGCTTCCACAGTCAATTGCGGCCAAGCGACGTGGCCAAGCAGACAACTAGGCGCCTGCTGTCAACCATGTGTGAAGCTGGACCGTTCTTGCAGGTGTTGTTTGGTAGATTTCTTGGGAGACGTGATTTTGGCAATCTGCAGTCAGTGTGAATGAAGAGGCAGTTCTAACCAGCTGATCAGCACGAATCAAACAAAATTTCTTATGCAGACCTCTTCGCGCGCTGACGCGGACGTGTTTTTTGGGGGTTGCACTGACGCGGACTACCGCGGGAAGAAGCTAAAAACTTCCAACACAAGACCCCAAAACCTTCAAAATAGACCAAAATAGCCTGAACCCAGCCATGTTTGATAAGCAACACCCTCTCGCGCGCTAGGCGCGCTATCGCGCGCCCTCGTAACCAGAGCTCTCTCGCAGAAACTATCGCGCACTGGCGCGCCTCGGACTTTAGCTGACGCGGGCCAATCAAAGACGAACCCTCTTTCTAATTCTTTCATGGAAGGTTTTGGGCGCCGCTCAAATGCAAACGCACTTGCCCGCCTGCTTGCTGTCCGTGAGGTGCAGCGAGTACAGATCGCGAAACCTTCGAACCCAGTCCTTCCTCCTTGGCACAAGATAACGAGAAAACCCGAAACCCTAAACCCTACTCTCAACCACTAGCTTTTTGGAGCATCGGGCTGGGCAACAGAGCGAAGGCGAAAGACTCTAACTCCTCAGTGCAGCAGATCCCACAATCGCAATGTCCTAGGACGTTGAGGCACTGAGCAGCACGCCCCATGTCTAACGCGACATCTCCGAACTGGGTTTCGAAGATGATCGAGTGTAGTTGCCTTCGGGTGTTTTTTCCGCTTCATCCCAGCTGCGATGCATATAACTCGTGCACACATCCAAAATTTTCCAAAGTTAGCACTGGCCGCAGTCTCAGTGGACCCATTCACTGACATTGTCAAGATACAGCGGCTCACTCAGACTCTGGCCCGTGCAGCCCATCACTAAAGCCTTCGACAAGGCCTTCGCGCGCATACACCTGCAGTCGTTGTAATGCAACTTTCGACAATAAAAACAACCCTTGACTTGACTCGAGACCCCATAGTCTTGAGGCTTGAGCTAGAGCCCGTTGCAATCGCTCGCGCAGGCTCAGCCAATCTTTGCTGCCCACTTCCTGAAGGCTTAAGCCCAGGCTCAGGCAGCTTCGACGTCTTTGGCGGCTTAGGGTTGGCTCAATTGGTAGTGGCATTGAGCAGTGGCACCCAGAAATTCATCAGCGGCTCTGAGTAAATGTGTGTTTGTGCCAAAGGTGACTCTGCGATGCGCATTCTCAGGGGAGGTGGTTCGGCACCTGGCAAGACACTGCGAGACTTCACAACGGAAATTGTACTCAAAACCTGTCCTCCTCGCGGATCTCCTGGCAGGACCTTGCAGCTGGCATTTGTTTACAAGCCCACTTCTTTGCCATCTGCCATTGCCAAGGAAGCAGTCTTTCCTGAAAGACCCTAAACCCTAAACCCAAAAAAGACCGAACATCGAGTCTGAGCCTCCCGATCCTCGTTGAAGCCAAGGCACAGCAGCCGTCTTAGCCGATCGACACAGCCAGGATCCTGTCCGCAGCGATGTGAGGTACTAGTGGTCCAAGCGGGCCTATCACTATTTATCACTGTCCTGTGTGGGCGGTAGCGGTGAGTCCATAGCGAAGGCTCAGCTACGATGGGTATTGCTGGACTCAAGCCGTTCCACAGAACAGTGATGTTCCAGACTCCACTACTCAAGGGTCATCTTGGAGACCTTCCACACGGAGTCTTGGGTAAATCCGAGGCCAGAGCTCATGGCTCGGCTGTCAGGGCTCATGCACAAGCAGGATATGCACTGGCTGGAAGGTTTTTTGGATTAAAAATCTTTGTTCTTCGCAGAGGCCGAACGAGACCACGGTGGCACCTTTTGGAAAGTGTTGTGTGGCTGCCCCGCCTGCCGACATCGCCACGGCTCCTGCATGAGGTCTGCGAATTCTAGCCCGTTGCCTAGGTAGCTTTCTTGACCATCTCCAATCGCCTCAAGAACAGTAAACGCCGGCTTCAGTGTAAGTTCGGGGTCTTCGGAGGTCGTAGGATCTGACATGCAAGGAATGTGTGCAAGATGGCAATGGCAAGCTGGGTTTCCCCAGGGCCCCCTACAAACCTCAACACCCTGAAGCCTTAATCCAAGTGTTCTGTAGCCATACCGGAAGCATTACAACCTAAGTCAACCTTTGATGCGTCCTGATATGAGGTAGAACAACCACTAAGCCCTTCAGGCAGCACGTCCTGCATCGTGATTTCTTCTCCTGCTCGGCCTCCCGAGTCAGCTGAACATTCAGCCGGTATGGCTGTGTTTGGAGATTCTTCTACACGAACTGAATAGGTTCGAATAGCCACGGAGCGAACTGGTGCACGTCCTGTCCCAGGTTCTCAGTTCAACTGGACGTATCAGTGGTATATCCAGTAGCTATCTGCAAACTGGAACGGCCGCATGGCTAACCATGCAGAAGCAAGTGTCACGACGGCTTCTTTCAATCGAGATCCCTTGACAACTGGGGGGAAGGTTCGGAAACCTGTTCGAAGCCAAACCAAACAGTCAAGTAAGATGTGCCCATTGCATTCGACATTCTGATCGTGTGAACTTCCACGACCAAAGCCTGAAGCAACTTCCCTTGCAGCCTTCGCTGAGCCCACGCAGCACCTTAAGTCTGAAGAGCGTGCAAGATTGCCCACATGCATGGTCAGAATCAGCCTATGCCTACGTGTGCATACCTCACCAATGTAGCTGCACCTCGCAGATGTGAAGTCCGACCGCGCTTTCTGATGCTGCGCAGCTGTTGTTTATTTTTAAGTTACGAAAGTTCTGCATAAGAGCCAGCGAAAAAACACAAGACAATTTTCTGAGCCAGAATACATGAACCGGTCTAACATTGCTCGGATAAGCTGTGAAACCGCAGCGTGTGCTCAGAAACTAGTATGTGACATTTCCGAGCATGACTGACAAAACGCTATCGACTGATGTTGCTTCACGAGTTGACAGACTCTGCTAAAAACAGTACAAGTAAGCAAATTGTCGATCGACAGCTGCAACGCATGCTGTCTGAGGTCAGGTCATCTCGCATGGAGATTGCAGAAAACTTGGCTGATCCAGGACAAGACATGATTTGAAACGGTACACAAACACTCCTGCGCTGCAATGGGACACACACACACACGGCGATCCAGAAAGAAGACCGACAACTCCTCCCCAAGGCTCTCCCTCCAAGATTGTCAGGCAACGAGTACGCTGCAGCAATGGAGAGCTACATGTACGAGATTGATTTGGGTCAGACCGTAGGGGGCATGGTAATTGTAGTCTGTAACAAGTAAGGGGGGGGGGGGGCCCATGTAGGAGGTTGCTGGCACCTTGTGCCTGCAGGATCTGCTAAAGCTGCTAAGGCTTGCTAAGGCTTGCTAAGCCTTGCTACTGTACTAGAAGAAACCGACTCTTGTGATGGCAGCTGAGCGGCTGCAGCGTCAAGGCTGGACTTAGCTGGCCGAGGTGCTGGCAGTACCTCATCTTGGCAGGGACGATGATCACCCTTTTCGTGGCAGCAGGGCCAGTCTTTAACGTGCTCCGTGGCAGGTGATGCACCTTTGCCACGTAGCAGGGAACTACGTTCCAAGAACATGCACGTTCAGGCATGGAGTCATGGAGCGTGGATAGGCGGCAGCCAGCCCCGCATCGGCGCAGCTCAAAATGTCTAAGTGCCCTGCAGCTCCGGCCCAAGCAGTGTTGGCTCTTGACCTTGAAGTGAAATGCAAAGAGAAAACTGGAAATCCAAGAGTCGCTGCAGTCACTTGGTATGCCAGGGTTCCAATGGTTCCAGGACGACGGCAGAAACCCTCGAAATGGTGCTCCAAAGTGGTTTGCCCGAGGGGCATCCCAAAGTCAAAACATAAGCTCTTTCAGTGGACTAGATTGAAGGCTTGAAGGCTTGAATGGGCAAGAAAGGCTCCTGCAAGAAACTCGGCCAGCCCACCTTGACATGATTGTGTGCTGAGGTTCAGGCTGCGCCAAAGCAAAGACCATCCAGACATCTGCCTGGATCTTGGTCTGTGGGCTGCGGATCGTGACACGTGAAACAGGCAATGAAGAATCAGCCATGGAGAGCCATCCCGTATACAAACAAACGGTCGAACATCCAAGCTTGGCAGCTGGCAATCTCACAAGAACCACACCAAAAAGAACCGAGAACTGAAACACGACGAGGCTGAAGCCAAAATGCACCGCGACGCTGATGCGAGAAACACGGTTTGAAACACGTGCTGTGCCAAGGCCTGGGACCCGGGCGCATCGCTGCGTGACCAGGTCGCCCGTCGCCCTGAGCCCACTCCGCAAGTTTATGCAACTCCGCCCCAAAGCGCGCAGGTAAGCCTCGTGAAACTAACAGTCACTACTGTAGCACTGCGCTGCCCGTGGCCCTGTCTGACTGGACTTCCCACACACGAAGCACTCGGCTCAACATGGCGGCAGGACTGCCGCCAGACCGGGCGAGCTCTGTCCACGCCCACTTCTGCTGCGCAATCTGTCGTCGCACCTTGCAGGACAGCTGCACTCCCTATGGCACCATTCAGGGGGAGACGGTAGACATTGATGTCGCTTGAATCCTATGTTCGGGCTGTTTTCGCCGCGGAGCGACGGTCAAATGGCACAGAGGCACTGCTTGCAAGTCGTGGGAGGAGGTGCGAAGGTCATGTCACTTTGCTAGGCACAGATTGGACACGCCACCCTCCTGCTTCCACGGAGGCCCGTCCACTCGCGCGATACATCTCTTTGCAAGAGTCTGTGCAAGTGGCGAGGGCTAAGGGAAAACGGGCTCAACAAGTCCCGTCGCGATCGCTCATTTCCATGGAGAGCTGGCCCCGTACCAGCTCGATACCGCCTCAAGACCCGCATAAGCAGTGCAGATCTGGTTCAGGAGCGGGAAATCCTTCGCGGCATCCGCGTGTGACATTCTTGATGACAAAAGTACATTGCACCAATGTTACGACGCTACGTGCAATCCCAAGCGTTCGGTGAAAGAAATTGCTGCAACTGCCTCAAAGGGTCCTTGAGAGCATCTGCCGCAATATACCCCGTAGCGATGTTGTCCGAGATCAGGCTGAAAAGAGCACTGTCGCCCCAGAGCGGGAGGTCCCCTGAGATGAAGGCTCCTTTGAGCCCTGCCTTGGTGATCACACCCTCGAACTGCTTCAAGCGCCCCGGAACGCTGGCCTTCCGAGGTTCGGAGGAATCTGAGGCAACCGTGAAACCCCTTTAATGTGGCCGAATTGGGATTCTGAAAAGAACTACAAGACTTCGGAAAAAGGAAACGACAAAAAGTGGACGAAAACGCCATAGACCACAGCTGGCCTTGTAGGTCTCCTTGGCAGCATCGTCGCCTCGGAAGGTCGCGGCCGCCCAGTCGCCGCGCCACTCCACATAGGCATCTGCGACCATGTCCTGTTGAGAGCAAGAAGAGACTTCCCTTGAGTCCGACCTCTTCTTACAGCAAGGCGTCTTCTGAAATTCCTGGGCCAGTCCTGGGTGTAGAGGCTCCAGCAATCAGCTTCTTTCATCGTCTTCAGCTGGACGAGCCCGGCGACCAGCCTGTTCGAGTCAGTGGGCTGTCAGTTGTCCAGGCCCGTGCAACTTGCAGGGCCTACAATTGGCAGTCTGGCTCAGCTACAATAGCTATACGGGTTTCCAGATGTCTGTTGCACATCGCACCGGTTCCAAGCTGAAGCATCCTTAACCACTTTCGGTAGTTTCGGTGATCTTCCACCTTCCGCCTCATCAAGCTAATGTGCTCGGAGCAGGCAGGGCCGTCACCAACCCAAAGGAGTGGAAGGTAACCAGCTGGAGCGATGCCTTCCGCCACATACTTGGCCTTGACGCTGCTGCCCCAGTCAGCCAGGGAGTGCAGCTTCTCTGTGAAAGTGATCTGGCCAGGCAATCGCTCAGAACCGCCTCTCCTATAATCCTATATAGCCTTAATGCCTATGGCAGGCAGCACTTGCACACTTGCACACACTTGTACATTCAAGCTGCCATAGCATTTCGCCCGGCCTTGTTGGCCAAAAGGAAGAAACGCACCACCCCACCACGACCGGAGATTGGAGCAGGCAAAGCCAAGTATTCCAATGTGAGGCCTTTCTCGAGCTCCTGCCGTGGCGCACTCGATTGGAGTTTGCCCTACACGTTCTCTCCGAATTCAAACTTCCTGCAAGTCCCACGCGCAAAAGCCCGCCAACTGTCATCCGACGCATCTGCTGAATGCAGCAATGACCCGCCACCTCTACGGGTGCATGATTGGTCTGTTTGAGGGGTTTGGGTCTGTGCTGCCGCTTTCTGTCCTGCACAGTGGCGCAGGTTGGGATGCAGATCAATCCTACCCTTCGAGAACGTGTTGGCACACGACCCGTGCGCTGCCAGCAAAGTCTTAGCAGGGATGCTTGAGTTGAGGATTGGCAGGCTACGGCTAGTGAGCGCCTGCGACAGCCATCGTAGGGCCTCGTTGCCAGTCTTAAAGATGTCGACAGCAGAACAGCATTGTATTTGAAGGGGTGCATGATGCCGATTTTTGGCATCCTATGGTGCAGACTTGAGATTCCGCCCGCTCCTTCGGCATCTCCGCTGCAAAGGCTGCTGCAGCTTTGTCCATGGCGTGCCAGCTCTACGCAAAGCCTTCTTGGGGTCTTGGGCTACAGCGGCTACAGGGCTGATCTGCCGGGAGAAGACATGGATGGATGTTGCAGGTGCCGTTTCTGATGGCAGCCGTCATTGTGTGGCAATCCCTGCAATGGAGTCCCCACAGCTAAGCTAGCTAAACCCGAAACTGTGTCTATGTTGGCCTGCCTTCACGCAGGGAAGAGATGGCACGAATAATGTTTCGCCCCAAACTATGCTGCAACTGTTTTTCAATTACTCTTCATGGTCGTGCTTGTCGCACCAGGATCTCTACAATTCACCGATCCGCATCCATGGATCCGAAGCACATGACGATCAACATGTTGGGGAGCCCTTCCTGTTGGCATGGCTCTTCCTCATTCCTGTGATCCAGCCGTGACCGACTGGAAGCTGCCACTACATAAACATCTGATTAGTTCTTTTTGGCATCTGGACCTTCTTGCATCCTCCCCCCTGAAAACCCAGGCTTCAAGCGCCCCACGCCTCAGCAGTTGCTCGGGAAGGGCCAAGAACGGTCAGCAACGTAGCACATGACCAAAGCTCCTCACCCGATCCGCAGGGCAGGCAGCTTCGCCACTCCAATGGTTCCCCGAATCCCTAATATCTTAAAACACAGCACCCTGCCGCTGAAGTGTAGCCGAGTATATCCCCCCCGCTCCCCTAGCATGCTGCAGGCTCCAGGGCTTGGTATTCAGTGGCCCTTCCCTTGGCTCAGGACGCGCAGGTGGCCATTGAGTTCCTGCCGTATCCTGCTGCTATGTGTAAACATATTATATATATATATATACAAATATATATATATATATATATATATATATCAGCATATAAAGATATACATATATATATGTGTATATATGTCATTTACTTGTGTATATTGTTGAAATTTATTTACATATATATATACACATGATTATATATATATATATATATATATATATATACATATATGATATACATATATGTGTGTGTTTTGTATGTATTTACACTTATAGAAATATTCATTTAATATACAATCATATAACTTATACTTCCACTTTTTTGTTTTTTATACAGTTATAAATATGTACATTGCATATATATATATATGTGTGTGTACATATGTATATGTATTTATATGTATATGTATATGTATGATGTATGATGTATGATGTTGAATACAAAGACATTGCCGCTGGTGATAAGGACTTCAGCAGCACTGAAACCGCTACGAGTGTGGTAGCCGATCGAAAGAATTCACACGGCTCGCAGATAGAAAAATCTGATACTCTCACCAAGATGAAGCAAAATTCAGCTCAATTCCCGACTTGTTTTTTGGGCCACTCTGAATCCTGATGGTCTATACCGCCGCCTACACTGGCGCAAGCCTTTTCTTTGCGGAACGTGGTGCAGCGCATTTGGTAGACATCCCATTGAAGACGATGGCTACATTTTCGGGCGTCACTTCTTTGGACACGTAAGGGACGACATGCGCGTCGGTGAAGCCCAGCTCGGTCCCTCGGCTGCATAAGGACATTCAGGAGCCGTCTTCCTCGCCTTCCTTTTCCTCACTAGGAGGGCACACTCTTTGTAGCTAAAAAGCAAGGAAGCTCCAAGCAGATGCTTGAGATGGAGCCCTCATTCCAAAAATGGCCACAGTTATTGGCGACAGGTATCTTTATGCTGTTTTTTTACCACTTGCATCCTAGGAGCTGAGCCATGCGACTCGGCCATAATCCAAGATCCTCTTCGCCATGATGCCTGCTCGCCGCAGACGTGCATCCGTGGCGCCCGCTGCCCAGCCAGCAGCAGACACAAACTCTGCGAAGTCCGAGGGCTTGTCAGTGAGCCTGACTCGGGACAAACCACTGACTTCGCATCTTGACTAACCCCAATTCAATCCAGCCGATTCTGAACACGACAGCCCATTAGCTCCGGCGCACATGAGTTCAGGTTCAATGCGCCCTCGGATGCTATGCTACCTCTTGAACACAGCAGAGAGGCCCCAGACTTGCGAGGAATGCCGGGTTTACGTAGGTCTCCAGGTCCTGAGACACAAAGGCTGCAGATACGGTTTTGGAGCCGTGGCTCGGGCTACTACTGAACCACAATGAACCCTGCTCCGCTTGTCAAAAGCACCTTCCATACTGGATCTCTTAACATAAATCCAAATAGGGGTCGCATTTAGAGCCCACTTAGGGTTTCAGGCGAGTTTCAGGTTCAATTGCTCGCGCTCAGGGCTTCAGGGTTTCGTCCTTCACCGGGGCCCCTGCTAGTTGAGAGCTGGCAGCCTAGAGTCGCAGCGATGGTGGCAGCAAGTGGCGCAACACAGGCCCACCTAGACTCAGCGGTTGCCTTTAGGGATGCAGATTAAGGACCCTGTACAAGCCCCTAAGGCGCAGAGGGGGATATAAGGTACAGTGCTGAATTCCCGAACTCCCTACTGAGAACCAATGAGTAGGAGAGGATGCTGCGGGTGTAAAGAAATTGTTGTTGCAAAGGATTCGGGGAGCCGTGAGCAAGGGGGTTGGTAGTTGAGAGAGGGGGCCGCTTGGCCCTCATGTGAACCACCGATCATGCTGTGCGCTTTTGCGCCCTACTTCCCGTTTTTCTGCTTGCCAGAATTATCTGCCGCTCCGTCACCCCCACAGTATGATGTGGTGAGCAAACCTGGATTCGCAAAACCTGCAAAGACGGGTCGTGCGCGGGTTATATCTGGCTCCATGACCTCTCGTCGCCACTCTAGCTCTAGCCCGACAGCCGCCATGTTCAGCGATGTGTGAACACAGTTTGCCGCATTGCCCCGGTCTTTCTCAGACATCATGGCAATCACTGCAAGACAGTGGCAATTGACACCCAAGTTGTTGCAATCGCCCGCTTTGGGCCTCGTAGCCCCGAGCCTTGTGCCGTAGACAGCCTTGAGCCTAAATCCCTAAGTCCTTAACCCTAAATTCCCTAAATCCCCCCATGACCCTGCCGTGCCTGGAGAGATCCTACAGTTGCTCCACGAAGTGATCGCAACGCAAGGTCTGTGCCGCTGCCACACAGGTGCCTGAGACGAGGTTCAAAGAGCATCTCCCCTTAAAGACACTTGGGGCTGCCTCGGTTGGCTCAGTGCACTAGGTACAGAAAGCATGTCACCAGTCCCGAACGTCAGACAGACACTCCAAAAAAGGGACAGGGACGCAATTCTCTACTCCTCTAGGCGTACAAATCAGAGAATACATCCGCACAGGAAGCTACAGCTACAGTATGCTGCTGGGTCTTTGGATTGGCTATTTTTGTCAAGACGAAGGCGTTGAGGATGCAGAACCCATTTTCGAAAAGCAGGGGTGCAAGCCGTCTATCATGTACTGCCATGTGGAACAATATCAACCGCCCCTGCTGCGAAAGGCAACTGCTCTGTAGTACATGCTTCCAAGTTTGGCTAAACATCTCGGCACGAGACTTTCGCCATTCTTGCTTCTCAGCTTTCAACACGAGGTCTGCCAGCGTGTACAGGCTCAGAAGATCTACTACAATGCAGTAGGAGACTTGGCTGCACTTAGTAGAGTAGCTGAAAATTAAATGTTTAGCTGCCTTATTAAGAAACCCAATAAGCCGAAAAAAGGCTAAGTGACATGGATCTACGGAAAAGCACCACAGAGCTATAGACTACATGTTTCAAAATTACGCACATGCATGTATTTATTGCCTGATGACTTTATTACCCTGCGTCGCTCAACAGAGACGAGGCTCTTCGCACAGACCAAGAGGCCGCCAGGTGGTGGAAAAGGAGGTGCCCTTGATGACAGGGTTTGACATCTCGACAGCCATAGTACTACATCGCATGCACTCTGCTGTCCTGAGAATGTCTGCCACACTGTGCAAGCGCTGCGATCGCTGCACGGTTCGTGCACAGCGCGCGAAGGTGGTGGAAGACTTGTCTGCGAAGTTTGGCACCTGCCAGAACCACATTTTGGACATTCACCAGGTCCGGGCGCTGTCTGTCACAGGCGCCTAACGTGTCGGGAATGTTATGATCCACCACGGTGGACTTGTTGTCTCAGGCATGTTGAATCGGTCAAAACTCTTGCTTACGCAAAATTGCACCATGGATCGAACATACCACCGCGAAGTCTTCAAACATCACAGAGTTTGAGTGGTCATGTCTTCAGCGTTCCGCTTGGTTCATTCTGAGTGTTTTGGAAGCAGCCCATCAATTACGCTGCACACTGCCCTATGTTCAAGAAAAAAGCATATCAACATGCGCCCTTACGACCAAAATTTCCTGATGCTGCACGCCAGCACGTGAAGATTCTCTGCGCCCCCACCCCCACCCCCCGGTCTGTTTTGCCGCCTCATCCCACAGAAGAGCTGCAAGATCAAAGTCAGCGATATCCATCCGAAGGCGCAGCACCTATGCACAACTGCTCCAAGATGCCTCAAGCAACGGCAATTCCATCAGAGGCAGTTGCATTGCCAGGGTTACTGAGTTGCTGGCCTCGTGTCCCTCGTCCCTGCGCTGTTCCACGCGGTGGCGGCGTGTGTCCCGGTCTACAAGCACGCTCAAGGCCTCAAAACATTGCAAACCCTAAAAGCTCTGGGCAGGGGCTGGAGACAGGGTCTTTTCGTCTATTTATACCGTGGACACCTATACACTGAGGCACAGTGAGGCACCTTGGTTGGGCAGAGCATTTTTGTCTGCGACCTTCTAGAATGAGAATAAAGCTAAGCACTCTATCGCTGGCTGTATGTCCGCAGGCGTTACAGCTCTACAGGACATCAAGTATGAAATGTACTCTTGTCAGTGCTGGAAACGACTTCCTGGCTGTTGCTTGGCAGCCGGGGTTTCGTTGCATGCAAGCACCAGAGCCAGCCCAGTCATCGGTCTGGTAACCGCAACACCGACACCCCTGCACAACTAGTACTACTTATTCGATTTCATGCCGATTCATGCCACTTGGTCCCTTCTTCAACAGGGCTTCCGCATGCTACTGCCAACACAATGAGGAGCCTGCGGGTGATCTTGTAGCAAACGCAGGGAAAGGGCACCTCGCCCGCACCCATACTCCACCATCAGGGCGTGCGCAAGCCTTTCGCCGCACAGTGCCTAGAGCAAGGCAGAGGCATGTTTATGTGCTGAGGCATCTGGCATCTGGTAGCGAGCAGGGTCTGGCGCTATGTGACTTGCCCCTGGGACCCGGTGGACGGTGAGTCCTACTGGTATTAGGTGGCCTGTGCAACCCAGCGTCAGATGCGAGGTCGGACAAAGCCCGGTTCTGCAAGCCGTGCTTGTCCGCATGGCCCAGCTCCCCACCCGTAGCCTCGCTCAAGGACTGATTGACGGCAACCTCGACCTCTTCCTGCGATGCCTTGCCAAGAGCCTGGCAAACGGCCCGTGGAAATATGGCTTCTATTCTGGCAATCCAGGCATCTCGGTCCATCAGTGCCAGGTCTGGCATTGGAGTCGTTGGACGCAATTGGCGCCCGCGATTGATGCCCGCACGGAAGAACGGCAAAGAGCCGAGAAACTGGGCATCCCTTAGGCTTGGGCAGGCCGTAGCCACATGCCTCTCCAGGTGGATGCGCTCCACCGTATGTGATGGATCAAGGGGGCACTGCACGCGATCTCCTTCGTCTCCATCGGCCACGTCCAGGTGAGTCTTGCATCTGCGGCAGCCTGGTGCAGCTCTGAGCCAGCACCTCTTCCCTTTCTTGCTGTGAACAAACTCACATTGCAGAGGGCTGCAAGTAGCAAGGTAGCAATGCAGCGCCGCACGGAGCTCGTCAGCCATAGCTCAACCATGTGCGGCTGGCTATGCCCATGCTGCATGCAAGCATTAAAGTACAACCTTACGACTCTGGCCCAGCTTCTCAAGTTCTGTTTCTACGGCGATTATGCCTAGTAACACAGATTCGTGAACCACACCAGCTTTGGCAGAGCTTTTGAGTGCGCCTTGATGGCAAGCAGCACCAGGCAAAAAAACTCTTTGGGTCCAGTCTGCATCTTCAGATTTGATGGAGCGGTGGAGCGCTTGATCCGGCAAACTGTCACCTGTCCAAAAGAATCCGTGTGACCTAGGACACTTCGCTCCTTGAGCGTCTGCTGCCGGGAAGGCGAGTCAGGAAACGGTGAAGTGATCTGCAGCACCTCAGTGAGCAAGATGCCAAGTTTGTTGCAACGCATTGCGCAAGCACATTGTTCTGCAGACCCGCCTCTCTTGCTGACAACAGGCGGCATGCATGACACTCCTTGACAATGTAAAGTCAGCGCCCGGCGATGAGCGTCGGTTCCCGCAAGGTGCTCTTGCAATCAAAAGGCAAGGGCGAGCCTTGAAACCAAGTTGCAAGCAGTGGCGTGTCAAACCCCACACTGCACCGCAGAAATGCCGAAAAGCATTGCAGGAAGATCAGGTTTCACTATGTGTACAGTACTGTATCATTGTGTCTCCATATTTTTGGGGTCCTTAGCTGCTGAACCTTGGCGTCGGCGCGTTGTGGATCGACTTTGGATCCTGGCAGTACACACTGACAGTTCAAGTGAAACATGCATCAGACAGCTGCGACAGCTGCCCTGCTCCAGTTCATCCTGCTCCTGTGCCATCTTCTACCACTAGGTCACTAGGTCACTAGGCGAAAGCAAGGGCAAAGACAGGCGTGAGAGCAAGTACTTGCAGGAGGCCTGCCTTCCGTTTGATTCGCAAACACGGGCCACGGGCTCTATCGGTCTTAATTGCGGTGGCAGCACACGCGGTATGTTCTTGTGGTAGTGCTTCCGCTGCATGACAAAAAATTGATCGCTGCTCAGCTGGGGCTGCAAGGGGTCCAACCGATGCAAGCGCTTCTGTGCTTATGGCCATGATCAACAGGACATTTCGATTGCTTGAGGTCACAATAGTAAGCAGATCGGGAGGGTTTATGCTTTCCCAATGTTTTTTACATCGGATGAGAGTGACAGGCATTTCAATTGTGGCAGTAAGCCAAGGACATGTGCATCTCTAGCAAATTGTCCAGCAGCACTCGAAAGTTTCTGAGCTTTGTTAGTGTCTTGGCACGGGCAATGTCAGCGTCTCTGTATGTGGAGTCTACCATCTGCGCACCTCCATGGCCGCCGAGAGCCGCGGGACCTCAAGTGTTCGTGATCAAAAACGCCCGATTTCCAGGGCTACTCCGGAGACGCTGCGTCTTGCTGCATTCGAAGAACGACAGGACCAACTCATAATTGCTTGCTCATGCCGGTGCTGCCCGAAGAAACTGCTTCTGTTCTGGGAGCTGGCATGGAAGACATGGTCAGATATCCCATATGTGTGCGTTTAGAGGAGGAGCAGCCATATATGCCATATACATTCCATAATCGTCAAGCCTGTCAAGCCCAGGAGTGCGACTTCTGCAGGTTGAGGCGTGCTCAACCCCATGACACCAAGGTTTGGTTTTTTGCTACCCGCCCAGCACTCGCGCACACCGCGGGGACAAACTTCAGAGGGTCCACTCCGCAACGGTTTGTAGATTAGCAGATGACTGCGTCACAGGATGACGTCGAATGCACCGACACCCCAACATAGCTAGCGACCAACTCACCAAAGACGTCCAGCCTGCACAAGCGAAATTGGTGTCCACCCCCACGTCCGGCAATCACCCAAAACAGAGTGAAGGGCTTAGGGTTTAGGGTTGGCTTCATCCATTCCTCAGGGCAAAACCACTGAGCAACTCGCAGCACTTCTGCTTTGGGGTTGCTCAACCTTAGAGAAGAGGAGCGCAATGGCAGAATGGAATACCTTGAAAGCTCAGGGCTCGTGACAATGGCCAGAATAATTCTGAAACTCATGATATTGTTCGGTCGCTGGTTTTAGAGATTGCACGGGCCGCATGGGTCTTCACAACAATGGCGCTGGTACAACTGATGTACAAGTAGCAACTCTCTGGGAGCCCGTCCCTGTAACGTTCAAACAATAACCTGTGAGCTAAACGCGGCTGTTTGGCCAATTTCGGTAGCTTGTGTGGCAACCTTTGAGGAGTTCGAGCGCCCAAGTAGCTGTTGTAGTTATCAAGACTAGTCCCAGGGTGGAACCCTGACCCCTCAACCCTGCGAGTTGGAGTCTCTCCAAAGCCCAGAGAACATCAGCGAGGCTTCGCTGCCCCAAACCCCCCAGAGTTTTTGTTTAACCGTACAAGCCCTGAAACCCTAAACCCTAAACCCATTTCACCCTGACCCCTGAACCCTAAACTCTAAACCCTATAACTTAGGCAGAGAAGCACATCCTACCAGGCGCCCCAACACTTCCAGCTTCGCGGGAGCAGCTCGCCCCCTTACTGAATATGACATCCACATGTGTATATGGCATATATATTATTTTCCCACATCTGAAAATGTGTATGTGGAAATATATACACATATATACATATTGTACTTATTTGTCAAATATATCATATGACTACCTATGGTACAATACAGGATTATATTGCAGCTGTATTCAATGCTTTTGCTGCAGGGATGAGTGGACAGGAGGTCCAAGCGAAATTCACAAACATATCGAAGTTGTTAAGGTCACAGTTTGTCGAGCTTCTTGATTTTGTACTGATAACGGGTGGAGGCAATCGCTGGAACTTTCTGGCATGTGCCAAGGTGCAGAACCTGGCATTGCCAACGATGATGCTAGTACATCAGGGAGTGCGGAGGTCGGGGATGGTAGGACAGACGATTCATGTGATCTCCCCAATACTGCCAATGTTCTGCCCTTCATCCGCTCAGCAGCTGACCACGACAGCTGCGCAATACGCCAATGTCTCGCAGGTGTAACATGGCCTGATGTGCATTCCCAGCTTGAGGATTGACAGCCCTTCCAGCCGTGCCAAGTGAAGAAGTTTACATGTGCCAGCTGGATGCTAAGATGTGCTTAGCTTTTGCAAAAGGCTACCTAATGATTACCTAATGCTCATCGCGAAGTGCACAGCTGCAACTCTGCAAAGCTTTCACTTGCCAGTCCAGTGGCTGCGCGGCCTGAGTCGTGTGAGGATCCAACGGCGACAGATGCCAAACCTGCTGACTCAGAGCTGACGCTAAAACGGACGCATGCCAATGTGCAGGTGCAATTCAAGCGGTTCACCCAGAAGCTCTCTACACTTCTCACAGGGAGCACGTAAGTTGCGCGCACTGCAGGAGCCCCTTGATGTCAGCAGGACCTGACTCCAACAAATTGACATGACAACACCACTCTCATCACTGCAAGGCCCGAATTCATGCGTGAAGGGAGAGCTGATTGCACTTACCAGTACGCCATCACATTTATGGGCACAAGCACCAGCAAACATGCACCCACTCACGCGCACTCTTGCACCCACTCACATACATGCATACCGGCATTCACCCAACGCAGAGCCGATGGTTGGGAAAACCATGCAGTTCTGGTACACTTACTCTGGCTTCGGGGCCCTTCACTGGACTGGCCAAGACTAATTATTCCGACCCTCTATTGCAGGGGGGGTCTGTCACAGTTTTGTATACAGCTTGTATGAGCTTTTGTGCTTGAAGCACCATCCCCGTCCATGAGCAGCATCTTGCACGGTGATGTCCAGGAGTCCAGCGGTTGCTTGACAGATTGCTGAATCACTCCAGTCAACGAGGCTCTATCGCTCCAAGCAGGGTGTATCCAGCATTCCCCAAGGCCATGCCACACACACACACACACATGCGCGACCAACCATGCAGAGACAGACACGCAGACAAACAGACGGACACAGTCCACTCCACGCTAATGGAGAAACAGCCTTCTCTGGCAGGTGTACATTGGGGGACATTGGCCAAGGGAAACTTGGCTGCACTTAGCAGGGTAGCTAGAAATGAAACCAAGAAACCCAAAAGGCTAAGGATTTAAGGTTACAGAAAAGCCAGTAAAGCACCGCAGAGGAAATAGAATCTTCACTTGCCGTCTCTCTCTCTTGCCCTCTCTCCGAGCCGCTCTCTCATGCAGCCACATGCAGCCACTTACGCCCATACACTTCAGAAAATGCTGTTGCAGCTTCTGTTTACGAGAAAGACGAGAGCGCACAGCATGCCACTGCTGCAAGTCTCCAGTTAAGCTGCATTTGTCTTGCCCTGCTCGCGCGCTAGAAGCAAACAAGCCTTCAGCAGCATTTACTGCACTGGCCTGAACTGGCTGGCACACCACCGCGTGGATTCAATGGTTAGCTCTGGTGCTCTATCAAACTCGCTGTAAATGGCCAGGGCAGGCACCATGTCTCAACATTCGGGGCCTACTTGCGCCCAGCTCGAGCTCAAACGAAAGTGGTTTTGAGACACGGTGGGCGTCTTGTGATGTCTTGTGCGTCACTCAAACGTTCATGGCCTCACTCTTTCCAGGCACACCAGGCTTCCCTGTGAAGAGGGCCGCCCCAAACTTCAGCGTACCCAGGCCACTGCCAACCAGGCCGCCCGCCTCTGGCACTGGAGAAAGGCAGATTGTCACGGATACTGTCCTTTCACATCGGACCTGGGGATTTAGGTCGCAGTACTACTCCCCAAGCATACACAAGCTCCAGCAGCGCAAGCGCAGGAAGCGCAGCAACTCGGCCTGCTGCATCAAGGAAGACGTTGCCTTTGGTTCGGCCTTCCGTGGTGGCGGATCGAGGCGCAGCCTCTCCAGGTGCGGATTTTACCATGCTCGTTTCCCGGCACCGGACCACCCCACAACCTGGTACCGGCGGCCTTCGGTGTTGAGCTTTCAAGCTTTGCCTTTAGTGTGGGAACGCCGTTCCATGCACGACGCGCACATGTGACCTAGGCGAGAGCGCGACTGGTGCCTGGTGATGCGAAAGTCGCTTCTTGTACGATGATTTTGAGGTCGTTAAAGTGAGTGTCGCCGTTCGCGATAGTTTACGATAGACTCTGATAGACCAACCCCTTCCCATCAACGACCAAATATACAGCCACCATTCGTCAGGCCTATCAAGGTCGGATGTCGCGCTGACATTCCTTGGACAGGGCATGTGGCTACACCTTCAGTTTTGGGAAACTATGACTATGCGGTGCGCGCCGTCTTTCTCATAGTCGTATGTTCTGTTAATCATCGGCACTTGATTCCTGTTTCTCTCAAGGTCTCCCTTGCCACCCTTCACCGCAGCGCACACATGCTCCGGACTGTGCTGACATAACCCGAGCATAACTTTAAAAACGCTAAATTCATTCTCATACTGCAAGCAGAGTCGCATGGCCACTGGAAGCAGTGGGAAGCGTGGCAGAACCGGCCGAAGCGGTGCAGCAAAGGTTGTCTGCAGCTCGAAGCCCTCGTTCTCGTTACCTTGCATATGGCAATAGCCAGTGAGTGTGTCTGCTCCGGGCCTGGAGGTTTCAGAATTTGGGAAAGGCACCGCGCAAGCGGTGCGCGTAGAAGTGTACTTTGTTCGTGGACCACTCGCCAAGTACATGGACACACGCGGACCTTGTGACAATCCTTACGTACCGACGGCGCCAAAGCCGAGTAGCCGAGAGCCGGCTTGCTGTTCGAGCGCAAGGTGCCAGAGCTGCCACTTTGGGAAAGATACCTGAAAGCACAAACAGGACAAAAGCCCAGGTGAAGTCTCAACACTGCTCTCTGCAAGAAATGTGCTGAGGTGGGAGCCCATAAAGCGGGTTGTGGAGGAAGAACGGGGCCAGCAACACTTTGGTGCCCTGGACATGGTTGCTCACAGAGGCCTTCCTCGGATCTGATCTTGGTTCAAAGCAAACGATTGAAGCAATTACCAATTGCACCACTTGCATCTGCACCAGTCTATGACAGTCTATGGCCACCAAGAATCAGAACATCTTGGTACAACAGGCGATCGACCGGATCGGAAAACGCCACAGACTCCTGAGATGTGAATGTCGCGGCTACTGGCCCCTGCAGTCTTTGGCTGCAGCAAAAAGCCCCAAGAGCCCAAGAGCCCATGAAAGCACTACTACTGTGCTACGACTGCTGTACTAGTCTCTACCCTAGACCGCCGGAAGTATAAAGAGGTTCAGGCCTGCAAGTGCCCCGCAAAGGGTGTGAGGCCCCAAAGCAACTTCGCAAGCTTCGACTCCAAGGGGCTGCCTTGGATAGCAGCTCCCGGAGTGCCTCGTAGGCGCTAACTCCTGGTGCTGCGGCCGCGGACAGCGCGATGCGGAGGAAGCTCAGATCCTGAGATTCTGGCCGCGTTTGTGGAGGGTGGGGGGAAGAGGTCGGCCTCATCAGCTACACGATGTTGCAAAAGAACTCGGATACGTCTTTGAGTAAGTGGTGGTCCTAGCTGTCCGCCCCGAGCCAAGATGCAAAGACCCATTGCAGAAGGTGCGACATTCCTTCCAGGAGCATTTGTTGCGGGATCTTGAGGGGCCTGGTTCACAGCAAAAGTAGCCCGCCCAAGAGTTGACCCACAAGCTGCAAACATCTGCAAACCTAGGTTTGTCGATTTCCCTGTTGTGCAGTTCGCGGGGTCTGGAGGTTTGAACAGTTGGCCCCGTGTCCGGATCTCTTCAGCCGCACCAGGTCAGATGGGCGCTCCTCAGATCCAGAATGATCCAAAGCTCGACTGCACGGCTTGAGCGTGCTTGCAGATATGTTTGCGGTATGCGCTATCAGTAGCCGCACGGTTGACATCGTCTGGCAAAAGCCAAGTGGGTCCACAAAGGAACCCTCAGCCAGGGCAGCGAGCAACTGTAAAGTGGATCGTACTCCATGGTCCATGAACGGGTTGATGCGCCGCAAAGAGAGAAAGACAAAGAGAGAGAGAGAGAGACAGAGAGGGAAGAGGAAACCAAGCTGTTTAGAGTACATGTATATGTATGCGCAGACAGAGCGAGAGCGAGAAAGTGAGGGATACATACGTGCATATGAAATGTGTGTATGTGTGTGTTCAGAACGAAGGGGACCTGTACGAAACAAAAGCTTGAAGACCCGACCTGTGAGTACGACACGGTGCTAGACCATGTGACTGTACACCCCCAGCTGCCACGGCTGCAAACACATAAACACCAAGATTCTACTTTTAGACAAGGAATCTAGAGCTCATAGGCTCTACAGATTATTGCGCCCTGTCCATTGTGGCCAAAGGCAGCTTCATAGGCCGCTGCGAAGAGCTCTGCGAGCGCGGCCTCCATTTCTGCTGCCAGGAAGATTTGGAAGGCTTGTGGGGTTTTTAGGGTGAGAATCTGCCAAGATAAACTGAGGAGAATGTCGTCGGATGTGAGATGATATGCTTGGGATTTGGGGTGGCTCCGCTTACTGTGCAAGTTGAGCGGCAAAGCCACATTATGTTGCCTGTGCCTGCTGCCGTTGGCAAGACCATCTTTCGTTTTGCTTGCGTTCTGAATTAGGGTCCCTTTTGGGTACCCATTACAAGGCGGCACCCAGGGATCTCAAAAACGGACCCTAATTTAGAGAACTACCCACATGAATGGTCAGCGGTGCCTTGGCCGCTGCCGCAGCGGCGACAGCTGCAGATCCTGCAAGTCTGTGCCGTATGAAAGCCTTGAACTGCACACTTCTTGATGTCATGGTCGACCCAAAAGTGGAAGCACATGAAGCGGGGTATATTTTTCTTGTACCCCCAAAAGGACACCAGGTATATACACTCACCAAATTTAAAAAGGAACCTTATATACACTCACCAAGAACAGTAAGATAAACCCTGCTTCACATGCCCCCGCCTTGCGCGCCGCAAAGCTCAAAGACTTGCCTCACCCCAAAACAAGAGGGCAACACAGCTGCTGAAAACGAAACATGCACGGATTAGCCTGGATCACGCTGGACCCTCCTGATGCATCCTGACACCGGGCATGACAATTACCAACTCCCAGACAAAAAGATAGCCTGATACAGATTGTCATTGGTCGTGACTCCATCCTTCAACCACGTAGGGGCCAAAATTGCTGCTCGGCCACTTCGAAGAGGCAGCAAGACGCTCGAAGACGAACGGAGAGGACTGGATGGGTACCGAAACCGCTTTGGCCTGAGTCAGGCTGTATAGAGGCCATGCTTGTAATTTGGGTATGCTTCAAAAGTAGGAAGAACTACAATAAACTCAAGAACTACCAGTAACTCCAATAGACTACCGCCAGCTTTGGTTGCCGGCTTCTTCCCATTCAGTTGCCAGGGCACCTCGGAGCCTTCCCCGGGTTTGGCTGTGAAAGCGGCGCTTCCCCAGCCGCACGCGGGGCCTGCGAG